AAGGTGTATCATGTATTACATGTAAATCATAATGCTCTGAATAAATTTTCCACTTATATTTAAGAATAGCTTAGGAAAATGAAAGAAAACTAGAAGAACCTTTATTGCTCTGTTTCCAAATATTTGATTGTTTAATGACAAAACCCACACAATTATCCATAACTTACAAACACCAATCCAAATGCCATGACATTTTAAAAAATTACAATCATTTATACACAGTCTTCCTCAAAAGACACAGTTTTCTATATTTGAGCACTCTGAAAATTAAGGTATCTTAAGTTTAAAAATCATAGAAGGAAAACAGTAGAAAACAAAATGTACTACATGCCAAATGTTAAATTTTTAAATAGTAGGGAGATGAAAAATACTAAGCAATAAGAAGCAAAAGAGGTTTGGAGATAAATAAAATAATAAACCAATGTGTATGATAAAAAAGACGATATTAAAAACACTTCAAATAGTAAAACTCAAATCTAAAATCTATTACAAAATAGAGCTTCCTATTTATTCTTAGAAACCACTATGAGTTATTCCAGTACAAATTTTCTTTACTGAAATAAGGCAGGATTAAACAAAGGTATAGTAAACTTCTTATAATTTGATAAGAAATATTAATATTCAAATATATATTTAATATCAATTCCAATATTTAAAACTTGTCTTTCTAAAAGGAAGATCCTTTAGAGCATCTCTTATACAGACCAAAAAATAAAAACAAAAAACCAACCAAGTCAAAAAAATAAAAAAAATTCAGTTCCCCGCCAGAAAGTAATATTTATATGAAGGATCTACAATCATTTGTACTTGCAAATAACGAGATAAACATATAATAGTAATGTGATATTCTAAAAATCCATCTTGTTACTCTTAAGACAATCACGTTAAAGTTTTAATACTGTCACTTCTAAAAATTAAATGCTTAATCTCATTTTCAATGCTTATTTGAAATAAAGTGGTATTTTACTACTGATTTCCTTTGGTGTTATGAGATTTGGGGCTACAAAATTTCAGCAAGTCATAGTTTGAGCTCTAATTATGTGCCAAAATTAGTTGCCTGGCATACAATGTTTCAAAGTTTGCTGAATTAAAAACAAAAAAAAACCAAAAACCCCCACGAAACTATATGTATGATAATTTTTTCTAAAATGTTTTTTCTAGTTATAATCAGACCAAAAATCTGTCTTCTAAAAAGGGGTTAAAAAGAAATTAATATGTGACTTTTTAAGCTTTATTAGACAAAAGAAAAAAAAGACGAGCCAATTTTAGGTAATATTTTAAAATAAGAGAAATTTTTATAGAATAATTTTTCGAAACTATAAATTTATAATCTTTTGAAGAAAACTAATGTGTCATATATAAAAATTATCTAATACAGTCTCTAGGAATTTTTTTCATTTTGTAAACCAAATCAACTGACCCATATTTCTGGCTTTAAGTATTCTGTGACATTCTAAATAGTTACTACCTACCAATAAACAAACAAACAAAAATATATACAAGTCTCCACAAAACAAAAAAACAAACTACATAAAGCATGATGAAACTAGGAATTCAGATTATGAAAGCTACTTTAAAATTTTTATCCTTAGCTGTAGTTCATGCAAAACATTAAAACTGATATTAATCTGATTAGAAAAAATATGCAGTGTTACATACAAACACCCGAGGCTACATTTTGTAAATGTACAACTAAGGTTAACAGCATTTTTTTTAAAGTCTATAACTGCACTTTTATTTGAATTTTTAAAAATAGTGTGGAGGTAAACAAATGAAAATCAATGCTACCAGGAAGACTGATACCTTACCCTCTCTAGTCCCCTTTCCCCCACAATATGTAAACATAGCCTTAAAAAGAGGTGACCTATTATAGCAACACCACACCCCGCAGTTGCTTTCCTATGGTAATAAATGACTTTACTAGTCCTTATAATACAAATTACAGCTGTCAATTTCTACAGAAAAATATGGATAAGTGCACATAAACATTAAAAAATACACATCTGTTGTACCTTATATCTATATGCCCACAAATCTAAAACCAACATCTTCCTCTTATATAGCATCACATAAAAGTGAAAATATTTTGAATGCTGTGGATTTTATTTAGGCGCTAGTGTATTCTCAAGTTTGAAGTGATGTATTTTAAATAAAGGAATCACTCGCTTCTTTTAAAAATGGCTTATTAAACAAACAATCCTTTACCCATTACCCCCTAAACAAACAAAAAAATCCCATAAACCAAAGTGCTAAAAATGTATGGTTATACTTAACCAGCCTGGTGGAATTTAAAGCTTGCCCCCAACTCTCCCCAAAACTCACATAATTTGAATGAAAATACAAAACTCAAAACAAAAACCATCAGTAAAAAGCAAAACCCAGGAGTTCTGGTACTTTAGGTATAATTACGTTTAAAATAGAAATGAGATCTCCTACAATTTCATTAAATCAAATTTTATAGAGAAGATAATTAGGACTTTTTATGAAATTTTCATAAGATGACTCAAAATAAATAGCTCTGAACAAAGGTAATGAAAAGGGGTCTGTTATCACAATTCTTGTTATGAGGGCAGTACAAAATGGTATGAATTATAAACTCAGCCATTCCACTTACTAATATAAATTATATTTACAGCCCTACAGAGATTTATAAAAGCCATAAGATTTTTTATTTGAATATTTTTTAACAATGCGTATTTGACTTAATGCGAACATACACACTATAAGCTTCAAAATTTTAACTACTATTCATAAAAGAATATAAACTTCTATTAAATTAAAACAATTCTTTCTTAAAGTATCTACAGCTGTTTATCAGTGAGGTTACCGCTTTTCTTTGAAAACCACACCTGCCTTTTATCAAGATGCAATTAAATAGAATGACAAGCTCGGTAATAAATGGAAATATATTGACGGCTATCTCAAGCAACATCGAACAAAAATCAACTGAAAATCACCACATAAAAAACAGCACACTGACACTGTTGTATACAATATATTTCTTCATAATGAATTTATCAAAGGAACGAAATAATATATACGCACCTGTGCTTACCTGTTGTCTAAATTAACATGAATGTCTTGTAAATTAAAGTTTTAGTTCACTGCAGTTACTGAATTAGCAAAATGTCTATTTTCACTAGATGCGAAAAGTTTTTTTAAACAAGATGTTCAATTTTTATGGAAAATGTTAAAAAGATCATTCGTGAACATTAAGAAAATTAAAGTTTATTTGCATCAAAATGAAAGAAACAACTGTCCGGTAATCTGCATCCAACAAATATATGTAGTTTAAGGTGAAAAAGTCCTATCAAAGGAAAAAAACTAAATATTTCACTCAGTTTTTAACCAATAAAGAACAGTGACAAATATATAAATGTCTTGTAATTTCAACCAGCAGAAACATAATTTTGCGAAAACAGCCTCTTCAGTTTTACTTTTAATATACATTTGATAACTACACGAAAATCCTTTCCGAGAGAAAAAAACTATTAAAAACCAACTTTTTTTTCTAAACTCTCGTCCTAACGTTTCGTAGCTATTTCCGTGGTTCTCTGGCTAAAAGTATAATTTTTCGTAAAGTCGAGAATTATAAACTAGCGTTCAACATTCAAACCCCCCAAGGCCCGCTTCCTTCCAGCCAATCAGGGGGTAACAAGTCCAGAGTTTAGGGAGCTCCGTTAGACACAATTTGAAAAACATCACACTGCACTCTTCTATTCTCCTCCGGGAAACATTCTAAGCGAGGGCGGGTCCCCTAGTCTTCATAGAATATAAAAAATAAATCAATCGTTATATCAATTCCAGGGGGAAAAACTGTAGGCAGGCAGTCCTAAAGAAGCGTGTCACTGCGGTTCCCAGGAAGCGTTATTCCTCTTTGCGAACAACTGAACAGAATAGCTGCTGCAAAAAGCATCTCCGGAGTATTTGCAACCCAGAGCCGTGCGCCCGACACGCAATACACCGGCAAAGGGTTAATGTAGTGGTGCCTCCAGCGCGGAAAAGAACTCAAGATCTAATACATCCTTAACGCGGGATTTTTACAAAGGCCATAAAAGTATTACCTAAAGTTAATGCCGTCACTGGCTCACATTACTCAAGAGCTGTGGAGTAGGAATTGATAGAAACCACCAGCTAAGGGGGGAAAAAAATCACCGAAGGGAAAGACAAATAACAACTCTCGTCCCTCCTCCGCAGCGTCAAGAAAAGGTGGGGATCGCAAAATTACCGTTAAGTTGTCCGGGTAAAGACTTTTGGGGGAGGAAAACATCAATAGTTTCACAGATTGCTTTTTTCTTTTCGAAATGTTTCAAACACCGGAGAAGAAAAAAGTCTTCTAAGAAAAGTGCGACTCGGAGGAAATAGCCAGAAGGAAATCGCTAGCTCGAAGCCCCATCTTTCATCTCACCCGTGAACACCCCTCCCCCTTGAGAAAGGACAACGCTGCGAGAGCAAATGACAAAAATCCCCAGAAAGAAGCTAAAGTCCAGCATCTTTCCTAAGAGCCCGCTACAACCTCAAATGCCTGCCCCTGCCCCATCTTGGAAGCGCGAGCCGCGGCCAGTCCAACCTACCTAGAGACCTCACCGGGACCCGGCGCGCCGGGGGAGGGCAGCCAGGGCTTGGGAAACTCTCTTTCCTGGGGCACCTCACCATTTAGCGTCAAAAGACAATATAGATAGATGGGTGCCGGGCGGTGGCGGGGGGAACTGTTGCCACGACCCACCGGAGGGACCCATGACTCCGGGTCCTGAATTTTCTGTCGACCTTAAGTTTCTTGTCACGAGATGACGGCCATCACCGGGTCGGGAAAAAGGCGAGAAAAGGCGGCCCGGTTCGGAAATGGGGGAGGGGCGCGTGTCCAGTCCTCCTGTCAAGGAGCGGCCGCCTGCAGAGACCACGCCGTGCGCCGTCCCCGGCTCCGGTCCCGGGCGGGGGGTCTTGCTGACAGATCCGCTGGGCGGCGGCTGCTCCGCCGCAGCCGGTCCAGGTCCCGCTCAAACTGCAGCTCCCCTCCCCCCACAGCCCCGTCTCTCTGCGCTCCCGCCACATTCCGCTCGCCGCCGCCCACTCGCAGACGCCCAAGTTGCCCCTAACCCCACTTCCTCGGATTTTTCGCGATTGAGAGCAGACCCTGCGCCCACTCCCTGCACCCCCCACTGCCTCCGGGTCCCACCACTGCCACCTCCCAAGTCCCGCTCTGCTACTTCTTCAGGCTCTTACCGACTGCGCCAGCCTTGGCGAAGCTCCGCCGACTGCCCTTTGCTCCAAGTAATTTTTGGTGATTTTTAAAGTAATTTTTCCGGCGGAGTCACAGTGGCGCTATACTCTCGGACAGGTTATCCTGTCTCTCCCGCTAGATTGATGAGATCAGGCATCACTCGAAAATGGCGCCGAAAGCGCTGAGGCTCCTCATTCAAATTCGTTAGAGCCAACCCCGCCGCCCCGGGGCATGCCGGGAACGCGGGCTGCCTCCACAGCTGTCAATACCGCCTCTTAACCCCCACTTCTCTTGCTTTCCCGACATTTTCGCGCATGCGCAAACTCCAACTCTCGCTCTCCTCCCGCCGTGCACATGCGCAGAATCATCGTTGTGCGCGGCTCTCCCTTTGCCTCTACGGTCGCAATCCTCTTGCTTCTTTTATTGCGCGTGCGTGTAGCGCTTTTGCAAAGACTCGGAGGTGAAGTGAAGGTAGAGGCTGTGGGGCCGAGGGACCACTTATAGCTATCAGCCCACAGGCATTTAGTCTACGTTGGAGGTAAACAAATACGGGTCCAGCTTAGGAGAAAAGAAAAACGTCTTACAGCCAGTGTCTAAACTCCAGACAACGGAATGTATCAATGAGACCTTGCATATGGATACACGTGCATTTAAAACGGCCCCGCCGGCGCGTTGAGCTCTTGCCGTTCGCCAGCGCTTTACAGGGGTTATCGCACTTAAGCCTCGGAACAACTTTACCAGGTAGGAACTATTACTGTTCTCGTTTTGAAGACCAGGAAACCTAGGCTCAGAGACATTAAGTAATTTGCCCAAGACAGCACAAGTGGCACAGAAGTGGATGAATCCACATCTGTCAGATTCAGCAGCCCTGGAGTTCTCTACCACGCTGTACGCTCCAACCTGAGCCCACACAGGAGGCGTGGTCTCCTTCCTCAACGGGTGTGTGTGTGTGTGTGTGTGTGTGTGTGTGTGTGTGCGCGCGCGCGCGCGCGCCTGCCTGCCTAGAGTTAATGATTAAGTTTGCTGAAGCCCTTCTTTCCGGTCCTAAGCTGCCTATTGCGAACGCGCTTTCATTGAATCCAGTTTCTCCTACGTCTTAACTTGTTCTTAAACTTTTGAGATAGGAATGGGCAGTTTTCTGTGTCACTTAGGATTTTTTTTGTTTTTTTTTTAATGGCGTGGTAAGTGAACTGAATCCAGCAAAGACAAGAGAACTGAATCCAGCAAAGACGAGTTTCTGTTGTGCAACGCATTGGTAAACTGACAGCTACCACGTATTGACTGTGTGCTGTGCACTGTGCTAAATAAATGATTTATGGATTAATCGTGTTTATTGCTCACAACAACCTTATGAAGTAGGTATTATCTTCGCTTTACAGATGAGGACACCTGAGGCTCAGATTAAGAAATCTGCCCCAAAGTCTTAGAACTGGTAAGTAGAAGCACCATATCTAGGCAAACCTGTCTACTTTAAAAAAAAATGGGCACTCTGATAGGACAATTAACGATAATAAAGTTGTAAATATTTTAAAACCTTCATTGTGAATGTTAAATAAGACAGTAGATATGAAAGTGCCTGAAGTACTAATAAGGAAGTGGGAGAAGGGTAGCATGGTTTGCATTATTGAAGTGTATTGGAAAAGAAATGGATTTTAGCAATTTGAGATCAAGAAGTAACATGGCAGAGTGGTATAAATAAACTACTTAATCTCTGGTACTTTTGTGCACTACTTAAGTGGGCTTGACTCTGGAACCGAACTGCCTGGGTTTGAATCCCAGCTCCACTACTTACTAGCTGTGTGGCCTTGTTGGGTAAATTATCTGTTGGACTTTTTGTAAAACAAGTATTATTAACACCTCATTGGATTGTTGTAAGGATGTAAATGAGCTAATATTAAAGGAATTTCAACAGTGCCTGGCATATTAGTAAATGTTATTGTCAGTCAGTCATTGATCTTTTAAACTGGCTTCTTTAATGGTTGTTTAAAAAAATCATACTACAGTTAGTGCAATTAGGGGTCAGCATTTTTTTTTTTTTTCTAAGAGGGAGCCTCACTCTGTTGCCCAGGCTGGAGTACAGTGGCACGATCTTGGCTCACGGCAACCTCCGCCTCCCGCGTTGAAGCAGTTCTCCTGCCTCAGCATCCCATGTAGCTGGGATTACAGGTGCGCACCACCACGCCCGGCTAATTTTTGTATTTTTAGTAGAGACGGGGTTTCACCATATTGGCCAGACTGGCCTCTAACTCCTGACCTCTCTGTCCGCCTCTACCTCCCAAAGTGCTGGGATTACAGGCGTGAGCCACCACACCAGTCGGGGTTAGCATTCTTTTTCAAGAGCTCCTTAAAATGATAAATCAGACTGACAAATGATTTTTCCCAAATATGAATAATGATCCCTGTTAGGCGAATAAGGATGTTAATTTATTTTACCATCTCATAAGAATAATACATGGAAATGGAATAGATTTATTGCTTTTTCTGATTGTTAAAGTTAAAAAACCCAGGCCCATCTAAAATATATAAAGTAAAAGTCATCCAAATTTCTAGCATCCAGGGATAACTACATATTGTTTATATTTTAAAAATATAACGTACCTTTGGGGACAATCAGTTGGGGGGGTCTGGATAAGTGGCATATTTGGGAGACATCTGTAAAATTGTAATAGAACTTACAAATAAGTAAGTAACACAATCTGGTTTCCTCACTGTAGAATTTTTATCTTAGTCCCCTTCTAGATATAATCTGTTAAGAGAATTCTAAAGTGATGATGATAAATGATAACATTTATTGAAGACCTAATATGTGGCAGACACTGGGCTAAACAGGTACATGCATTTTCCCATTGAATCCTCATGTAACTCATGAAGTGGGTGCAATTATCTCTATTTTGCAGAGACTGAAGTTTATGTGGAAGTCATTTTTAGAAGATTTAAGTCCAATTGTGTTTAAAGTCTTACGAAAAATTCTTTCATGAAAGCTTCTTGATTTGCTAAAATGGGAGAAAACAAAACCAACTAACATACAGTAGTTCCTGTGCCTGAACAGAGAGCCCAATTGTAAAAAATGGTCTTTTGAAAACTGAGAAATTTATGTTTGACCACAAGGGGGTGCAAATTCCTGAGTTACATTTCAAAGAAAAAAATGGAAAAAGTGCTTTTACTTCAGACCATTAAATTCGTGGGTTAAAAATTAGTAAGAATTCCTGCCTGGAACTTTATACCCTAAAAGTAATGTACTTTATAAGAAGAAAGAACTCAATTACTTAGGTGCTCAATTAGGGCAGAAGTGTCAGCTTGCTTTCTTCAATACAGTCAAGAGTTAATCATCCCTCCCCTACCCCTTTCCACTCACAGTTAGTGTCTCTGCATACCCCTCTTTACTTGTCATAGGAGTAGAACTGAAGTCATAATTTAAAATCTGGGGTTTTGCTCTTGGAAACTGAAATGCAGTCACCAGCAAATGGATGGTAAATATGGGTAGTGTGAAGAACAGAGGTCTTGTAATTTCTATGCTTTTTTTCCCTCCTGCTGTTTATAATGAGTAAGCTACAACTGATGCAATGTTGGCTTCAACATATTAACTTATTTAGATAAAACTGTGAAAGCTATAGGTCTGTTCGTCTTTCAAGAAAGAATGCAGACTTTGAAACAGTATATACTATTGAATGTATTAAAAAGTTTGCTTAGCAGGGTTTTCGGGTTCCTTTTATTTTCCTGTTGGTCTTGTTTCTCTGAGATGGACTTAATTTAAAAAATACATTTTTTTTTGGAAATAATTTCAAATTTACAAAAAGTTACAATATTAAAAAGAGTTCCAAGAACATCCATATCATTTTCTTGCTCTTGTACATGGGTGAGTTTTCTTTCTCTCTCTCTCTCTCTATACACAGTCTATAAAAACACACAGAGGAAAAATGCAAGAAAAAAACTTTCAATCCATATCAAGGTTTTATGATTATAGTTAAAAATATACACATCAAAAAGCCAATCTAAAATTTGCATTGTTGACACTGCGAAACCATTCTTTTAAGGAACATTGGTGTTCTATGAGCTAGTCCGATTTTTGTTTTTTTAAGAGACAGGGTCTCTCTATATTGCCCAGGCTGGCTTCGAACTCCTGGACTCACGTGATCATCCCGTTCTACCTTCCGAGTAGCTGGGGCTGTAGGCAAGTGCCACTGCACCCAGCTCAGTGATTCTTAAACTTTGAAAATTTATTGAAAGTTATAGACCCTTTCTCTAGAATCATGCATATATGTGAATAGTTTGCATATAGTTTCAGAGGTGGATGATGGTCCATGGAGTTCCTGAAGAAAAGTAAAGAGAAAATCATTCATACATATGGTAAGCAGAATAATGGTCTACCAAAGATATCCAAAGATGTACATGTCCTAATCTATGTGGGATTTGTTAATATGTTACATGGTGAGAGATAATTCAAGTTTCAGATAAAAATTAGGGTTGTTACTCAGATGATCTGAAAATAGATTATTCTGGATCACCTGAGGAGGCCTAATTACATGGTCTTTTAAGTGTGTAAAGGGGAAGCAGAAGAATCCGTATCAATGATGAGATGTGAGAAAGCCATTGCTGACTCTGAAGGTGGAAGGAGGCCATGAGCCAAAGAATAGTTCATGAGCCCTAGAAGCTGAAAAAGGCAAGAAAACAGACTCTTAAGTAAGGCAGCCATGCCTACATCTCTATTTTAGCCCGCTAAGACCCATTTTGAATTTCTGACCTCCAGAACTGTAAGATAATACATTTCTGTTGTTTTAAGCCACTAAGTTTATGGTAATTTGTTTATGGTAATTTTATGGCATTAGGAAACTAATAAAGGATGTGAAAAGTCATTTTGTATGTATGTTGATGTGTGGTTATGGTAGTAATTAAGTGTGTATGTATACATATATATATTTTTTAATACCACCTAGGTATTTTTCTGTTTTTTTTTTTTTTTTTTTTTTGAGGTGGGGTTTCTGTCTCCTAGGCTGGAGTTCAGTGGAGTGATCTCGGCTCACTTTAACCTCTGTCTCCTGGGCTCAAGTGATCCTCCCACCTTAGTGTCCTGAGTAGCTGGGACCACCACGCCCACCTAGTTTTTTGTATTTTTTGGTAGAGGTGGGGTTTTGTCATGTTGCCTGGGCTGTTCTGTACTTTTTTTAAATGGATTAACAAATCCATAAAAAGTACTTCTTTATCTTTTTTAAAGGTCTGTGAAGTGTCAGACCTCAAGATGGACAACTATTTAATTAGATACAGCATCTTATCTGCTACTGAAATTATATACCTACACAAGATTTACTGAAATTTCTTGGTAAGAATGTGATGAGCTTTTCCCACAAATTTATCCATCTACATTCCCTTTTTAAAATGCAACATTTTGATTTACAGTTATGTTGACAGTACCTTTGTTCTGTCAAGTATCTTGGATAATTTCTTTTCCCTGTAGCTGACAGATTAAAAACAATTCGAAAATTCTCCTCAGAGGTTATTTAAACAGTATATAACTACATGTTTTAATTACTTAGGTATCAGCTCAAGAGAATAAACTGTTTAGAAACAGATTTATTTTGCAGTTGGGTAGATTATTTTAATGGAAGATTAATACAAGTACTTAATTATCTATAAATGTTTTATGTACGAGAAACTTTTTGTGATTTTTTTAAAGGATACCAATATTAGTTACATGGGGGAAAATTTATACACACATCAGGAAATGTAATTGTTTTGGGAAATTTACATGGTTTAGAGCTCCAATTTCTAAAAGTGATTAGAACAGATTCATATATAGCATTTTCAACTTCGATTCTCTGAAGATACTGAGTTAAGATTTTTTTTCCTGTATGAGGAATTATTTTGCTTACAATATTCTTGGCCACAAATCATGGAACTAAACTAAAATTCATTTACAACTAATAATGGTCAACACTTATTGAGGAAGTATGACCTTTTTTGTTTTTTTTTTGAGACAGAGTCTTGCTCTGTTGTCTAGGCTGGAGTACAATGGCATGATCTCGGCTGCCGCAGCCTCCCAAGTAACTGGTACAACACGCACCACCAGGCCCAGCTAATTTTTTTATTTTTAGTAGAGATGGGGTTTTGCCATGTTGGCCAGGCTGGTCTTGAACTCCTGGCCTCAGGTGATCCACCCACCTTGGCTTCCCAAAGTGGCGTGAGCCACTGCGCCCGGCCAGGAAGTATGAACTTTTTTTTTCACCTACCAATAAGGATTCCTGGAAAGGGATAAACCCATTTGTTTTTGTTAATCTTTCTAAAATTAATGTTAAAATGTTGGCCTTAAATGAGATATTAAATACAGTGTTTTGAAACATTGCTTTTGAAATAATATATACTTTGTAAGAACTTAATAAAGGATTGTAAGAACTTAATAAAAACCTATTCAGGATTGGAATCATAGAATCTTAAGAG